CATGGTTAGATTTACTAGCAACCAAAGCTGGTAATTCTTCTGGTATGAATGATGAGATTGAAAGAAAAAAGGCAGAATTTAGACGTCTAAATAAGAGAGTAAAAGAAGTTGTTGAAAGGAAAAAGAAAGAAAGAATGGATAAGAATGATAGAAGGATATCTGATAATTTCCAGGCTAACACAAAAATGTTCTGGGAACTCGTAAGAACTGCCAGGGGAAATACAAAACAGCCTATAATAAATGCTATGAGAGACGAGAATGGATGTATTCTGAATGATGAAGTTTCGAATTTAAACAGATGGAATGAATACTTTGAAAGCGTGTTTATGAGTGAAGAGTCGTATGAATTAAATGAACTAGAAATTCCGAAAGAAGTGGAAAGGGGTATGGAGATAAGTGTAGATGAAATAATGAAAGCAATGAAAAGCATGAAAGCAGGTAAGGCAGCTGGATATGATAGAGTATCACTCGAGATGCTAAGGGCTGGAGAGGGAGTGGTGGCAGGCCTGCTGTACACCTTGTTTAATTTATGTTGGGAATTAAAACGGGTACCGGATGACTGGTGTAAAGCAGTTATAGTACCAATATATAAAGGAAAAGGGTCACAGCAGGACTGCAAAAACTACCGCGGTATCAGCTTGCTTAGTATTGTGGGTAAACTGTATGCTAAGGTGTTAATTGAAAGAGTTATGAAAGAAACTGATGGAAAAATTTGGGATGTGCAAGCGGGTTTTAGAAAGGGAATGGGGTGCACAGATCAAGTCTTTTCCATGCGCATGATTGCGGAGAAGTTTTTGGCCAAAAACCAGAAAGTTTTTTGTGCGTTCATGGACTTGGAAAAGGCTTATGACAGAGTGGACAGGAATGTGTTATGGCAAACACTGAACTCATATGGGTTGAGCGCTGGTTTGATACAGGCATTAGGGTCTCTTTATAGGGACTCTAGTGCTTGTGTCAGGATCAATGGGGTCTACTCGGACTGGTTTGGCATCCAAAAAGGTGTCAGACAGGGCTGTGTAGCTTCCCCTTGGCTGTTCAACCTATTTATGGACCGGTGTTTGCAAACTTTGAAAGATGAAGAATGTGGTTTAAGAATGGGCGAGTTAACCGTCAAATGCCTTTTGTATGCCGATGATCAAGTCATATTTGCGTCATCAGCGGCTGAGTTGCAAATGATGGTTACATTAATGAACTGGGAATTAAAAGAAAGGGGAATGAAAGTGAACGCAAGTAAGACGAAAGTGATGGTTTTTGAAAGAGAAGAAAGCAAAACGGTATGTGAAATAAGAATAGAAGGAGAGTTAATTGAGCAAGTGGATGAGTTTGTGTATTTGGGATGTGTATTTAGCAGGGATGGTAGATATGATAGGGATATAGAACGACGAGTAAATGCAGGGAATAGAGTGAATGGGGCACTACACTCTATTATGAAGAACCAGAATGTGTCAAAACAGGCACGTATGGTAATTCATAATACTGTGTTAGTCCCTACGTTAATGTATGGTAGTGAAAGCTGGGTGTGGCAGAAGAAGCACGAAAGTAGAATAAATGCTGTAGAAATGCGTTCTTTAAGAAATATGCTAGGGTTTAATCTGAATGACAGGGTGAGAAATTGCGTGATAAGAGATAAATGTGGTATGCAAGATGATGTTGTGACCAGAATTAAGAAAGGAATGCTTCGGTGGTTTGGTCACGTAGAAAGAATGAATGATAAAAGAGTGACAAAGCAAATTTATATGGCAGATGTGAACGGCCGAGTCGGGAAGGGACGCCCTAGAAAAAAGTTTGTCGACCAAATTGGCGATATTTTGAAAATGGGCCACGTTAGAAGTACCCTTAACCGACGAGCATGTATGCGTAGATATATGGATGTAAAGGAGGCGAAAGAGGTATGTCAGGATCGTGCCAAATGGAAGTCCGTAATCTCTGCCTACCCCTCTGGGTGACAGGCGTGAGTGTTTATGTTATGTTATGTTATGTTATTTTGCCCAATTTTAAATGACCGTAATGAAAAAAATGTACTACACGGAATTTGGCAAGGCACTTTAAGCGTTGGGGCATTTAATAAGGATATCAAAATGGTATAACACTTGCAAGATTATTTTTTTTAAATGGAAAAAAAATTTTTTTTTATAGAAACCTAGTTGTAATTTAATTTTCTAAAATGATTTTTATACAAAGCCTTGGGGTACAGGTTTTCTTCAAGCCTGTTACTTACGACTTTGGTTTGAGTGAAACGGAGGGAACTTGTTGACGCAGTTCATATTCCTATATTGCTATCCGATTCCGAGCTATGTTTAAAATTTCAATTCTCTAGTTAATCGGGAAGTGCTCGAAATTCGAGTTGCAAGATCCCACCTGGATCAACAGACAGGCAAACAGGCAGACAAACAAGAACGTGACTTAATAAGAACGTGCAAAAACTCTTTTCTCTTATATTATATTCTCTAAACTTTTTTTGTTTAGTATGGCGTCTACAACCGCCCAAGAACACGTCAATACAGAAACCGATTTCAACAGATCAGTTACGCGAGCTGCCCCGCGTAAATACGATATCGTCTACTCAAACGTATTCAAGTACAGCTTGCTCCATCTGGGTGCTGCGTATGGATTGTATCTAATGTTTACCGAGGCTCAATGGAAAACTACGATATTTTGTAAGTGACAATTACATTATGCGATTAGCTTGAATTGACTTTTTTATGGGATAGTGTGATAAACGAGTGCACAGTCCACCAGATGGTAAGTGGATGCTGTGGCCCATAGACTCATCTATTATCTACATCTATTATCAATTACAAATCGAAATGCGATACGTTGTCAACCCTGAGAACTAAGATGGAATGCCTCGTTTCAAGTTAAAAGGGTCTCCGGTTCTCTACACTCACCATACGAAACACAGCAGCGTTGAGCTGATATTTTACGTTGGCTGAGAGAACATCCTTAGCCGGTCGAGGCGACCCATTCGTGCCACAACTGTACTACTAATATAGCTGCAGCATGGATCTAACACGTATAGAACGTACTATACCGTCACCGTTACCGCTATATCCAGTACAGCAGTATTATAGTTGAATTATATTTCTGTAATATTAAATAACTGTTATTTGCATGCTATTAAAAGATAAATAACTAGAATTTTTTTTAATTTGAAACTGTTATTAAATTATTTGCTGCGTTACTTACCATAAATTGAAATATAAAATATAACACATTTTTCGCGATGTACCGTAAGATTTTACGATGTTTATAGGAACCACAGACAATATTATTTAAGAAACAAAAAAACAAAACATATGTGCTGACCCAGAAGTGTGAATAATATCAATCTTTAAATATTGTTATCACATCAAAATTGAGATTTTGTAAGTTACGCCTTTTGACACTCGGCTCATATCTGAGGTCATTGTCTGTTTTTCTCAATCGATTTGGCACGAACTATAGCATATAATATTTGAGTTCTCTACCTAACACTCAATATGTATTTTGTTTTTAATGTATTTCTCTCATAAGTGAATTTATGTCAATTCTTATGAGAATAAATGTCTTTGATCAGTTATTGTAGTGAGATAATTGGTAAAATGAAAATATGTAGTCATTTATTTCATAATTTTTTTCTTGTAACTTCAAATTATGTTAGTATAAAATTACAAAAAGAACTATCAAATAAATGTCTATGCACTCAAATTATCGTAATTAAAGTGGAAAATAATGGTGCAGAGAGACCAATAATAAACATAAAACTAAGAATAAACACTACCTACTCCTTTCCCGGCCGAATACTTCTACCTAACATGCGGCTATTCATCCGCAGAATATTAGTTATTCGGCGTGTGGCCGAATATACCATTCGTTGCAAGTCTATTAATAAATAACCATTTTTGAAGTTGTTAGCTGGCTGTTTGTCTCTCTGACTGTCAGTCTGTCTGTCTATCGGTCTTTCTTGGCTAATTTCGGCATAGCTGAACCGATTACAATGAAATTCCACGACCAGGGAGAGAGCAATGCCAGTAGAGATCTAGGCTTTTATATACGTGGTAGAGCCATGCTGCAGCTGTATCATGGTTGAAGCACGAATGGGTCGGCTCGACCGGGGAGGGACCACGCTATCACAGAATACCAGCGTAAAATAGCAGCTTAACGCTGCTGTGTTTCGTATAGTTAGGTGCAGAGAACCGGAAACCTTTTTACAGGAAACGAGGCATTCCACCCTCAGTCCTCAGGGGTGACAACGCATCTGCATTTTATAATTCTTAATCGATTATAGATGTAAGTCCATTTACCATCAGGTGGACTGTGTACTGCCTTGTCATTCTTATACAACACCCACGGGATGGTATGGAGTAGTAGATATTTTTACACCGTCACTACACGGTCAACATTATCGTTATGGCCAAATGAAAAATCGCACTTATATATATATGCACACGTGCTACTATTTGGCTGCAGGAATAGGTAAGAGGTACCACCTAGTGAAAATTACAAAAAAAATATTTCCAAGCTGCCGTGTAGATATAGTATTGCATTGACGAACGAACTTATAGTTCACCTGATGGTAAGTGGCCACTGAAGTCTATGTACACCTGGAGCCAATAGTAGTCTTCAGAGGCTATCTTCTCTCAAGGCTACAGATGCGTTGTTCTTCTGAGGACCGAGAGAGAATGCCTCACAGCCTATAGATATAATTGCTATCTACAGCTTTAATGCAAAAACAAATGATGGATTATTATTATTGATGTGAAAACTTCTTTAGATTCTTTGTCATTTGAAACTCGACGAAAATAAAAAGCTACACTAAAAAGAGACAAACATATACATCTATAGGATTCAACCTGCGAGAGAAGTAATACAGTATACTATGTTTCCTATTATATCGGTCTCAATAAATAAATAATAAAAAAGAATCAATAATAATTTTTATTATTAAAAATAAATACTGTGAAGTGAACTTCTACCGCGAGTGAGCTGCATACATGTGTTTTAATTTAAATATTATAGGTATGATTTATGCCCACGCCGGAGGTTTTGGCATCACCATCGGGGCACATCGTCTATGGACACACAAGGCATTCAAAGCGAAGTTGCCACTCGAAATAATATTGATGCTTTTAAATTCTATCGCATTTCAAAGCACCGCAATTGTGTGGATACGGGATCACAGACTGCATCACAAGTTAGTAACATTAAGGATTAAATTTCTATACAGAATCGAAACCGGATGCACCGACATCCAGTCTTCTATGTACACTATTAGGCCGACAATTAAGAACAAGAATTATGTCACAGGCGCACAGGCATAGGGCGCCGACTGGGCGGGTAGCTAAATATGCCAAGCAGTTCTATTTTTATTTATGACAGTTACTGCTTTTAGGCAAATATGAAATAAAGTTACACACTTATCTGAAATGTACCTCAAATCACGTTGACAAAGTGAGCACATAAATAATTACAGCGTTTTCTAAGCAACTTTAATCTAAATCAATGTTAGATTGTTGAAAACAACGTTCGCGGTTCACAAAACAATGAACTTGTCAACTCGCCAGCTCGCAGACGACTAAAGGAGTTACGGAGAATTGACCGTAACTTAGTGAGCAATGCATTAAGGCAACGGAGCGCGTCTAGTAGTATACATAGAAGTCTTTGCTGACATCGCTTAGAAAAATGAAAGAACAGATGGTTTACTGTGACGAAACGACTAGCTATCAGCAAAATCGCCATCTATCTATCAATTACAGTCTATAACAGTTTACAGCATAACATAGGTCTAACCCATAAATTGCTTCTGAGTTTTCTTAGTTGCCACGCTAGACAGGCGTGTTGTCAACAGTGGTTATTTATCTTATTCAAAGTTGTTATCAGAAAAATGCTGCTGCCCAACTCCTATTTCAGTACCTTTGGCGCCTCTCACGACACCCGCGGGACGATATAGGAATATTCTTACATATACTTGCTGTTCCAAGGTATAACTCCATAAAACTGGCATCTCATTTTTGGGTAGTTAAAGTTAGAGCCTATATACGTCCCACCAGTTCACAGGCCTTCCCTCATTTTTAGAAGGTAAAATTGCAATTAACAATTTTGATTGTTGCCGGATTTAACCCAAGTTTGCTTGTGTACTATGAAATTCACAGTGAGGGCTAACCATATGAGCTACCACGGCTCTTTTGTGAGTATAAATATTACACACGGATATCATCGCAAAAATAGCTAGAATAGCTTCCTAGGACCTTGAAACGTTGAGATCTGATGATATATCGATTTTCAAAAACCGGGGTGAAAACCATAACTTCCCCATTTTTTCTTGCCGCATCCATTGTCAGGGGAAGAGGGAGGAGGAGAGGGGGGGGGGACTGCGTCCCGATGTCATAGTTAGCCGGGCTACTTTCAGCTTTTGAATATTAATTTTTGATTCAATCTACGCAGAACGAGCTTACAGTATCTTAGTCTTGTAAATTCAAGATATTTTTCATGAGCACGTGGTAGATCAGCACCTACTCAATAACTGCAGCTACTCAATTTCTTAGGTAGGTAAATAAAGATACTTATGAAATTTTGAGGTGACCGCTTGTTGTTATAAGAAATCATTAAGAGCTCTGCGAAATACAATTTTCAATGTGAAATGCCCTACAGACCGAATTTAGATCAAGGCGGCGAGTCTCAGTCTGGAGATTAGCCATCTGCATAGGACAAGATTATAGTGCCGGAGTGTATGCGCAAGCATAGATCCACTCTCTATTCTTCACCGGCGAAAGATCGAGCACAGGACCAACGATTTTACGTTTTTCCGAGGCACGTGCTGCTACTGAGAAATTCTTCACAGAAAAACCAAGTAACAGATTTTGGCCCGACTCGAAATTCGAACCCAGGACCTAATGATCAGCAACCACGTATACGAGCAGTGGACCAACGAGACAGTCATCAACATTTTCTCATCTATAGATACAGCGACACTGACGCGGACCCGTACAACGCTTCTAGAGGCTTCTTCTTCTCGCACATCGGATGGCTATTTGTGAAGAAACATCCGAAAGTAATAGAAAAAGGGAAGACCATTGATATAAGCGATATTACTAATAATCCCGTGTTGAAGTTTCAGCAGAAGTAAGTACAATACAGGGTTTATTTTGCAATATACGTTCAAATTTTGGGAGAAGGTTTAGAATAAGTAATATAGGCAAATCATCATTCATCATCATTACAGCCCTTCACAAGTTCACTGCTGAACATAGGCCTCCCACAAGCCAGCCACAAGCATGCCACAAAGCACGGTCCTGAGCCACCTGCATTCATCGACTTCCTGCATATCTTACCAGGTCATCACTCCATCTAGTTGGGGGGTCGCCCTACACTACGCCTACCGGTACGAGGCTGCCACTCGAGAACCTTTCTTCCCTATCGGTTATCGGTTCTTCGAGCTACATGGCCGGCCAATTGCCACTTCAGCTTACTAATTCGTTGGGCTATGTCGATCACTCTGGTTTTACTGCGGATATCCTCATTTGTAAGTCTATCACGCAGAGAAACTCCGAGCATAGTCCTCTCCATAACTCGCTGAGCGACCTTGAGCGTCTATATAGGCAAATGGTGAAGAAAAATTAATTAAAAATAAATCTCAAACATTTAGTCCTTTTTATCTTTTAAATTCAGAATGCATGCAGAATAAATATCTAACGCCTACTATTTTACTACGCACGCTCACACTCGTAAGGATCGCCCGGTCTGCAAAAACTTTGTGAATAGAATGACGCGCGTGTGCGTAGTAGTTGCCCGTAAATCCACATTCAATTTAGGATAATTTCAAATAATAGTAGAAGTCTTATTTACTCGTATTTTTAAAAACTGCAGTAACGAAATTATTATTAATTATTATTTATATATTCGAAATTTAATATGAAATTTGGATACTCTTTGAAAAATAACCCCGTAACTCGTGTCTATTTTTACTGGTAACGAGGCATTCTATCTTAAAATCCTCAGGGTTAACAACGCACCTGCATTTTGATTCTTAACCGAGGATAGATGTAGATGTCTATGGGCTATAGCAACAACTTACAATCAGGTGAACTGTGTGCTCAATCGTCACCCTTATTCTATAAAAAAACGCCATTATGGTTGTAGCACGAATGGGTCCGCTTAATCGGAGAAAGACCACACTCTCACAGAATACCAGCGTGAAATGGCAGCTTAATGCTGCTGTGTTTCGTATTATATGTGTAGAGAACCCTAGCCTTATTTTATGGAACGAGGCATTCCATTCTATTCTTAGTCCTCAGGGGTAACATCTGCATCTTGATTCTTAACAGAGGATTGATGTTATACTAACGTCTAACGTCGCTATGCCGGTCGTCCGTCAACTTTTCCCTAATAAAGTGATCTCTCGAAGAGGAGATATTCCTTGGCCACCACGTAGTCCAGATCTGACCCCAATGGACTTTTTCTTATGGGGTTATCTTAAGACTAAAGTGTACGAAACCAACCCGCGGACAATTGACGTCCTGAAAGAAAATATCCAAAGAGAAATGGCAAACATTACAGAGCTTACTTGCCGCGCAGTGATGGATAATTTTAAACGTCGCTTACAAGAGTGCCGCGATCGTAACGGATTACATTTAGATGATGTAATTTTCAAAAAATAATTCCCATTTTATAAGGATTATGACAAAATAAAAACCTTTTTCATAATGTCATTAGTTTTTTTTTAATTATTTTTTTACATTTCAAGGGACTTATGGGCCACCCGGTATATGGGTCACAGCAACCATTTACAATCATGTGGACTGTGTGTTCGTTCATCACACAAAACAAAATTATCAAATATCATATGAACAAAAACTCATCGATTTTCTAAGTGCTTTTTAGTGTCTCTTTTTCATTGCGTCGAGTTTCAAATCACAACGATTCTAAAGAAGTTTTCACTTCCAAAACACTTAATAAAATCATTAAATTTTCAGATATGCAATTCCCGTGATAGGAATGTGCTGTTATGTTATACCAACGCTGATCCCAATCTATTTCTGGAATGAATCTTTCACAAACGCCTTCTACCTTAACGTATTTCGCCATGTTTACGGACTTCACGTAACGTTCAGCGTCAACAGCGTCGCCCACATATGGGGCAACAGGCCGTACGACAAAACCATCAATCCAACCCAATCGATCATCGTTTCTCTCTGTTGACCGGTGGCGAAGGCTACCATAACTACCATCACGTGTTCCCATGGGACTATAGGACGGCCGAGATCGGGAACAACTGGATCAATACGTCCACGTTGATCATAGATTTAATGGCTAAACTCGGTTTAGCATACGATTTGAAGACAACTAAAGAAACAATGGTGCTGGAAAGGCTTAAGCGAACTGGGGATGGAAGCGATATGTGGGGGATAGCTGGGAAATTGTAAGCGGCCTTATGGATACAGAATCAAGTTAATTATTAAAATATATTTACAATAATTTACAATTGATGATTTAGAATGGTTGATGTCCGAGTCATATTTTTAAGAAGCGCTTTGCCCTCCGTCATAATATATATATTTTTATGTCTTATTACATAAAAATACAGTCGGTTGCTTCTTATACTACTGTTGCCATAACGCAGGCCAAATTGTTAACAAATACATCACCTACTTACATGCTATGTACCTACTGTAATTAATATCCTAATCTTGGATTTAAAACTTAAATTAGATAAATTAAATTTAAGCTCAGCAGCATTATTTACATACTTCATTATTTTAACCTATTAATAATTACACATTGATATATTAATTAATACAATTATTTTTAATTTAACTATTTTTTTTATTTAACCAACAACCACGTTTTCTTACTTTTCACCATTTTTATATTACCACATTCGTCTTAAAAAAATAATTACATTAACAAGTAATCTCATATCATAATATTTTTGCTAAAATGAGCCTTAAATCTACTCTTACCGTCGATATATTTATACTATGCACTAGATTTCGCATCCCGAATCCTCACAATGTTCAACTGAACTGTACTGCAATCCATACACTTTACTTTAGGCCCGGTTTACAATTTGAGAAGTGACAAGTGCTAGTGGCAAGTGAAAGTCGGCAAGTGAGAAGTAACAAGTGCGCATTTTATTCCCACTTATCACTTGTCACTGCCTGTTCACACGCACTAAGCACTTGTCATTTGTCAGTTGCACTTGCCACTCGCACTTGTCAGTTCTCAAAATTTAAAACGGTCCTAATAGGCAAATACGCACTTGTCACTTCTCACTTGCCTCTTCTCAATTACCACTCGCACTTGTCACTTCTCGAAAAGCCCGTTTACATTTTGAGAAGTGACAAGTGCGAGCGGCAATGACAAGTGACAAATTACAAGTGACAAATAGCAAGTTGGTGTTCACACATGTGGCAATTGGATGTCATTATTATGTGAAATCTTCGAGTGTGAAGTTGGGTAGGTAATTGTCAAAGAGGCGCTAGCGTAGCTTTAAACTTTAAAACTTTAATCAAAAAAGATAAAATTGTATGATGAGATACCAAAGATGTGTGAAGTGCCTTATTGCAAAGATATTGGTGCACACCAATTTCCTAGAAACGCTTAAGTGAGAAAAATGTGTCTTAAAGATATTACAAGGAAAAAATTTAAGCCTGAAAATAATATGGCTCCAGCCCCTGACCTACAGGAGTCTTTAATTTTCTTCTTTTCTTGGTAATATGTAGACTTAATGCTTCTTAACTTCACATATACCTACTTTTTTTGCGCCGAAACCGGCCATTCCCATTGCTTGAGATATTGAGGGCATAGCAGTGTCTCGCATCATTTTATTTTTTTAAATTCAGCGATTTAATATTGTATAAACATTCGTGTTTCAATAATTCCTTGACACATTTAATGTTATTGCTATCTGACCACTTTGTAATAAAACAAAATTATTATAAATACGAGTATGTATACAATATATATAACAAAAATATTTTATTTAATAACTATTATAACCAACACGTGTATGTTCTGACGTTCGCCGCTAAAACTGGGGCGGCGGTGGGTGACTGAGGGGAAAGCAAGGTTAGCGCGGGGCAGAGATACTTGTCAGAGAATAAAGCAGGCCGCTATTCACTTGTTACTTTTCATTTCGCACTTATCACTTGTCACTCGCACTTGTCACTGCCTGTTCACACGCACTTAGCACTTGTCATTTGTCACTTGCCATTGTCACTCGCACTTGTCACTTCTCAAAATGTAAACCGGGCTTAAATGTGAAATGAAAAGTAACAAGTGAATAGCAGCCTGCTCTATTCTCTGACAAGATATCTCTGCCCCGCGCTAACCTTGCTTTCCCCTCAGTCGCCCACCGCCGCCCCCGTTCTAGCTGCGACGTCAGAACATACACGTGTTGGTGATAATAGTTATTAAATAAAATATTTTTGTTATATATATATATATATATATATATATATATATATATATATATATATGTGTGTGTGTGTGTGTGTGTATATACATACATATTTATAATAATTTTGGTTTATTACACTATTGTTTTTAACAATGGTCTAAAAGTGGTCAGATAGCAATAACATTAAATTTGTTCAGGAATTATTGAAACACGAATGTTTTTTCCATTCTTAAATCGCCGAATTTAAAAAATAAAATGATGCGAGAGGCTGCTATGCTCTCAATATCTCAAGCAATGGGAATGGCCGGTTTCGGCGCAAAAGAAGTATATGCGAAGTTAAGAAGTATTAAGTCTACATATTACCAAAGAAGAAAATTAAAAACTCCTGTAGGTCAGGGGCTGGAGCCATATTATTTTTAGGCTTAAAGTTTTTCCTTGTTATAGCTTTAAGACACATTTTTCTCACTTTAGCGTTTTTAGGAAATTGGTGTGCCAAACCAATATCTTTGCAATAAGGCGCTTCACACATCTTTGGTATCTCATCATACAATTTTACCTTTTTTTATTAAAGTTTTAAACTTTAAAGCTATGCTAGCGCCACTGTGACAATTACACACTCGAAGATTTCACATGTGATTTCACTTGCCACATGTGTGAACACAAACTTGCTATTTGTCACTTGTCATTGCCGCTCGCACTTGTTACTTCTCAAAATGTAAACTGGGCCTTAAGCCCGGTTTACATTTTGAGAAGTGACAAGTGCGAGTGACAATGACAAGTGACAAATGACAAGTGACAAGTAGCAAGTTGGTGTTTACATATGTGGCAATTGGATGTCATTGGGTGCGTTTGGCAGAAAAAAGCGCTAGCAAGCGCTTGTAAGCAAAATGGCGATCGTAAGCGGTAAGCGCTGTCAAATCGTAAGTAGCTATTTTCCTCCAGGACACGATGTTAGTTTCCTAAGAACCTTAACCTAGAACCTAAACTAATTTAAATATATGTTTGTAAAGTATTTATATTAAAAAACTTACCAATCATGAATTTTTAATAACATGTATATGTTTATTCATGTCATTATATTACTTAAAACTATTATTGCACAAAACAACTTATAAACTCTACTTCAAAACAAACAAATTAAATAAGCATAATGGCGGATAGTGTCAGCGCTACTGAAGTAGCAATCGTGTCCTGGCCGAAAATTATTTCAGCGCTTATAAGCGCTTGCTAGCGCTTTTTTCTGCCAAACGCACCCATTATTATGTGAAATCTTCGAGTGTGAAATTGGGTTGGTAATTGTCAAAGAGGCGCTAGCACAGCTTTAAAGTTTAAAACTGGTATCTCATCATACAATTTTACCTTTTTTTGATTAAAAAGATGTGTGAAGTGCCTTATTGCCAAGATATTGGTGCACACCAATTTCCTAAAATAGCTTAAGTGAGAAAAATGTGTCTTAAAGCTATAACAAGGAAAAAATTTAAGCCTGAAAATAATATGGCTCCAGCCCTGACCTACAGGAGTCTTTAATTTTCTTCTTTTCTTGGTAATATGTAAACTTAATGCTTCTTAACTTCGCATATACCTACTACTTTTGCGCCGAAACCGGCCATTCCCATTGCTTGAGATATTGAGGACATAGCAGCGTCTCGCATCATTTTATTTTTTTAAATTCAGCGATTTAATATTGTATAAACATTCGTGTTTCAATAATTCCTTGACAAATTTAATGTTATTGCTATCAGACCACTTCGTAATAAAACAAAATTATTATAAGTACATATAACTTGTAACCAACACGTGTATGTTCTGACGTCGCCGCTAGAACGGGGGCAGCGGTGGGTGACTGAGGGAAAGCAAGGTTAGCGCGGGGCAGAGATACTTGTCAGAGAATAGAGCAGGCCGCTATTCACTTGTTACTTTTTATTTCGCACTTATCACTTGTCACTCGCACTTGTCACTGCCTGTTCACACGCACTAAGCACTTGTCATTGTCACTCGCACTTGTCACTTCTCAAAATGTAAACCGGGCTTTAGTGTCAGTTAGTGAGTGTGGCTGCGATTTTCATGCAATGCGGAGCGGCGCTAATAATACGAAAATACAAATCGAAGTGTGAACTTGGACGTAAATAACAATTCAGTAGTGAAATAACGAAAATTATTTGTTGTTCAACTGAAAAAATAGGTAATAATATCATAATACCACAATAGAAAAAATATTTCCTCATTGTAAATGCCATGCCATCTACAATCCATTACAAAATAATTGAATGTAGGTTAAATATTTTACTGAACAAAGACTACGTGGTCTTTTTAGAAAGATTTTAATTTTTTTTTATTGTTTTATAACCATTTTATGTTTTTGAATGTTTATTTTATGTTCTTTCTTCTTAGTATAAAATATTATGAATTAATATATTTGCAAATAAAATGTAATAATAATGTAATAAATAAATGTTATAATAAATGTATGTTGTATGTGTATGTAATGTATGTGTATTTTACCTAGTTACCTTTTAAAATATTCAAAAATATCACGCAAATCTAACTGTGAGAAAAAATGCGGGTAGGTTTTCCCGTCACGGTTCTTTGAACGAAGTCATCCGAAGGGCTCTTGTCTCCATAAATATTCCCTCGGTTTTAGAGCCTTGCAGGATATTTAGAGACGATGGCAAGAGACCCAACGGTACGACTTTGGTCCCTTGGGAAAGAGGTAAAGCCTTAGTGTGGGATGCTACTTGCGTTGACACGTTGGCGACCTCTCATCTCAAGGGTACCTCTTTTAGAGCTGAAGCGGCATCTG